ATCAATAGTTATCAGTTTAAAAAGTTTCCTGATGTACATTGTTCCGCGATCCATTTTCCATATTTCGTATCACTATTTGCTCCTTTAAATTCAAGATATGTAAATTCCAAAATTATAGCAGCTATACAATTATCTTCACCAGTTACAACTATATATGATTCTTTTACTAAGTTAGAAGTAGTGGGATTGGTCAAATGATGAAGTGCGAGACAATTTACTCCGGATTGGTGTGCTTGATACGAGAAAATGGGCGTGCCTAGATCGTATGGAGTATTATGTGTGAACTTTACTTCGGCGGCATATGAAACTAAATAGCTAATTTGGAAAATAAGGACAAAAGGAATTTATTTTAGGATATCTATAATTACCTGTGAATGTAGTGCGAAATGTCCCATACAGCAATCCTATATTTAATAAAATTCGAATTAAAATTATGATTACAAGTTGGTAAAATTTCAAAAAAAAAAAAAAAAAAAAACAATATACCTGCCATCGGTTGCTGACGTGAATAATAGTATACCATCTTCGTTCATTGATTCTTTTGCTAAAAATAGGTAAGTAAATTTTAAATTAAAATAATAATCTATTAAAAGTAAGATGTAAACATGTAATACAGTAATAAATTCTAAAATTATAACCTTTAATAATCACATTTTCTACTTGCAAAATACATTTATTGTGAAATTTAGACGTTCCAATCAAAAAGAAATTTCTTTTCTTTTCGTCAAATAGCCAAATCTAAATTAAATAAATTATATAATTTTAATAATAGATATTATTATACAGTAACACTAAATCACACCACTGGTGTTCAACACCACATATATTTTTTAATAGTTTCACTAATAAAATTTAAGGTTAGAGCGCTGTTACGTATAAGTTAATGTGAGGGTTAGAATTAGAGGTAAGATTTAGATTAATATGAGGTTTTTGGGGTGCTGAGCATTTTTACTTAGAACACCTTGCATTAATTACTTAGCTAGCTTTTGAGATATAGCAATTGTGGGTTGAACACCACTGGTGTGATTTAGTAAAACCGTTATTATTTGTTACATATTTCGCAAGTCGAATTTTAAATTTCTATAACTTTCATTTTTTCATTTTGAGAGAGATCAACATTTGATATGGTACATATTTTCACTATTAAAAGGATATCGGTTCCCGATAGGATATCAGATATCCGATACTTCTATCAAAAAGTATTGGATATTTGTTATGCCTATCAGAACTGATATCATTCTGATAGGAGAAAATACGCGACAAAAAATCAGTTAGCCATTAGTTAGCTACACGTATTAGGTCCAATATTTTGCTGATCTCTCTCAGAAATGTTATAGAAATTTTAAAATTCGACCTGTGTTTAGAAAAATGATGAACCTACCCTTAACGTTAATGCAGAATCAGAATACGTATACAGCTGATGATATTCATTATTTGTACTAATTGGACAAATACTTGTATCCATTATTCTGGTTTCTAGAACTTCGCTGAAGGTGCAAAATATGATCTTTACAGAAACCTATGTTTTTTGCTAAATATGTTTACAATATATTTATTATATATTAGCAATATTATTATTAT